CTAATGTGTATCGCCAACTCGACGGCTTATTCTTCTACTACTACTCATGTTGCGGTATATATATTCGTGTTTTAAGTATGGCGACTAGAGGAAGATATTACGGACACAAAGTAAAGCAACAATATCATTGTCTGAATTACCAAACTATTGCTATGGTGACCTCTTTTCGAGTATTTACTGTCAATTGATTAGTTTGGAGGCTATGAGACGAACTGGTGAAGGTAATGGGTCAATGCATCTGTACGAATTGATTCGAGTAGAAAGTCTATAAAAGGTCAAATCCTTACATTTCATAAGAGCATAAATTGAGACTATATCGGAGAAAAAATTACTCGAGAAAAATATGATTCGAATAATATGATTTGAATACCCATAGCGAAGTTGTCAGCTCGTAACGAAAGTTTGTTAGCCGGCATTTTTGCGTGCACCAGACGAGAATCCATTGTGTTTCCACCATTCACTGCTGTCTTTTCCGATATATAACTACCGCTGTCGAAACAGTTATTTCACACACCCGTTGAGCTAGCTATGCGGACAATTTATAACGAGAACGCTTTCTATTTCCTAAATCATATAACGAGCACTTTTGAGATCAGATATCCTCAACTATGACCTAAGATTCGATATAATCCTTTTGGGTAGAGTTGAGCACTTTGTTGAGATTCTTCAGGTTCGCCTCTTGCATGACTTTATTATATACATTTACTTATATTTGAAAGACACAAATGTATATTATCTAGTAGCTAGTAAGTAAAGTTACCCGGTGATATCCAAGGTGTATAGAGTCCGCTGAAAGTGAATACGGCAATCGCTCCAAAGCCCACGAGGGCCGGGACTGCGAAGTAAACTTCGTCAATTCTAGTCGAAGTATAAATGTCATCCAAAACGCAGTGAGTAAAAGTAATTAGGAATGCAAGTTGGTTACTTCAATCATCAGGGAGCTGGCTCATCATACCTTTTAATCAGTGTTATGCCAGGCCGAAAAGGATATTTTACATTTAGAGGAGTTTGATTGATTGTCTCTTCTGAATCTACGTATTCAGATTTTGAGGTATTTTATCCACTGACAACAGTTAGGTTTTGCATCAAGATTGATAATGACCGCTTCATTCACTCTCTGACAAGAACTATTAGATGACAATCTTAACAACCGAGTAGGACATCGCTTGGGTACAATATCTACCGCAGGACAAGAGTTTGGAGTGAAATGGATAGGGGTGTGACTTGAGATGAATTATTGATGGGATGCACTGAGACTGCATTTTACCACATGGTGGAAGTCAATGAATCAACTCATTTCAAGCCTTCAGGTTCAAATCTCACTAAGAGTGAATCAACTGTTTCACTTCAGACTATCTAACAAAGTGACTTCCAAACCGATCCAAATGTCAAGAATGAAAGATACAAGATTCCCAGAGTTGGCGAGTGAGTTTATGAGCAGTCCATCACAACGTCCGTTAGTGGTGTGGGGGTTTACCGACTACTCATACGCTACAGTATTTTCTACCTACCATCATAGAAGATTAGATAAAACTCAGGACAAGAAGTGGAATACTCATTTGTGATTTCTGAGTTACTTTCGAACTTCCTATTTCCATCTCATACGTAATCTCGATGATAATGATCATTTTCACTTTCATGGCCATGAGCTTCTATGTCAAATCACCACACCAAGGATAGGAATACGAGAGGTACGATATGTAGGAATTCAAATCCATTTGTTTTATCATAATATCTCATCTACAACTATACACTTACCCCTATGATCTATTGAAGTTCTCACACTGTCTTTCTACCCTAAGCTACACATAAATTGTGACGAGGACACCGACGGACGACAAGATCACCGTTACTCAGAATAAATCGTCAGACCATCTCTTACATAATACTCTAGTTCGGCGTTCTCGCCACACCGCTTGACCACCCATTCCAATTTCTATCTCGCTTAATTGGTATATTCACCCCTATTTATTTGCTGAATGAACGATGATGTGATTATTCACACATAAATCCAGTTAAACATCAGTCTAGACACCAAACAACCAAACTAACTCACCGCTTATTCCGGAGTTGATTACTAAGTTACTGGATCTCGGACTTCTACTTCGCATAAACACAGAATTCTGGGAAGAATCTCAAAATTGTGAAGACTTCAACAATCACAACTGAAGGTTTGATATTTCCATGTATACACCACAATCCTATGTTTGGTTGACGGAGTATCGTGGGGTTCTGTCGGCGGCATTTACATATATTAATGGCTTGGAATCTATACATATCTTTTATGAATCTAATATAACGACAAGAATCAATTTTCGATGAGACAAGATTTACGCTCATGAATGACAACAGTGACAAGAAGACTTTCATTCCGAATATTTGCTAGCAAGATTAGATGACTGTCTCCACCCATATTGACATGAATTCATCTTTTAAACTTTGAAGGTTGAATGTCACAATCTACATTACGTGTCAACTTTACACTATCTTCAAAAGGCCTTCTTAATCTCCATACACTGGCTCAACGTATTGATCAAGAGAGAGCTACTAGCAACTCTTGTACAGTAAGCCCTTCAATCAATTTATACCCATGTTTCTGCCCTTCTCTAAATTCAGCTCAAGTTACACTAGATTGAATCTACTGTTTGTGCAAATAACCATCCACTTCCACGGAAAATTCCTCGACTCTACGAGTACCGCATTACATCAATTCACTTCCGAGTCCTATGTTTAGTACCCATTCAGACTTAGCTCCATACTAAGCTCTCCAAATTGACTTGAGGCTTTTAATATATAAGCACCCAAACATCCCAACTCACGAAATCTATAACGATCTTGTATAACCAGTCAAAATATTACCAGACACAAGATAGCGATCAGCATATAAATTTGTGTCAACCAAACCAATACTCACGCTCACGCTTGCGACCCCAAGATATAGAAAGAGTTTTTTTTTCACCCCAATTTAACCTAGCCTACTCGTACAAATATGAGAAAGATCACCTTTTTGTACGGCAACAAGCGACAATATGATATCTCAACAGCAAAAGCTAAATTTATTAAACGACAGTAAAGTTTACAGACACCCACGCTTTTAATCGAGTTTCTTAATCTTAGTCCTATCTTATTGTATTCCATCTTCATCTTTGTAAATAATTCGAGGCAAGGAATAGTGATAAGGGGGGTCAAAGTATGCAACACCTGAATATTTTTGGCTTCAGCATCGATTACTACTAGGTAATTAGCATTGTCAATATCATTTCATCCAGATATATATACTATTACCAGTTTATCGATTATTTCTCTTGAGCATTGATCGATATATGCTTGGAATACTCTAGTGCTGGTGTATTATATAACCCAAATGGTAAGATCTTATTATCAAGTATTTATAAGAACCGAAACGGGTTCTGAACCCTGTCATCCATTCGTATCCTGGGTGATTTGCTCCTCTTGAGTCCAGTTTGGTAAAGATTGCTGCTAACTTTATAGATTTCCATATAAGATTTAATACTCACTTTGTTAATCACCACATTAGCTGTCTAATAATCAAAATTTCACTAGCTATCTACTGTACATTAGATGCTAGCATACAGCCCTTTCAACATAATACAGTAGCATGACCAAAAATTCACCACCAAGCCCCTCCATCTTAATCATCCACTTTTCATCCCCCCCCCCCCATTTCCCCATATCCTCACATTCTCTCAAACCAATCACCGCATGCTTTTCATAATATTGTACTCCAATAGTGTCGCCCTCCCGCCCTCCTCACCACAGATTCACAGAAACAACATAAAAGAACTCTCCGAACCATCACCATCAATCCTACCATCCTACCATCCTACCATCCTACCAGCCTCCCAGCCTCCCAGCCTCCCAGCCTCCCCTCAGATTTCTCAGGATTAGCACTAGGTGAAACGTAACTCAGGACTTCAACGAAGCACCCTTGGTCCCTGTAAATTTATACCCTTCCATCCCTCCACTCCTCACCCCCCAAAACAAACCTCACATCCCTTCTCCAATCTCTCCAATCTCTCCAATCCCTAAAAACATACTCCATACTCCATACTCTTCCCCCAACCCCCAAATCCCCAAATCCCCAGATATTTACCATTTTATCATTTTATCATTTTATAACCTACCCTATACCTTATATCCTATACCCTATACCCTATATATAATCATTCGCATCTCGATATCAGTATCATCAATACTCTCATTTTATTTATTCATCTCATAGTCTCATAGTCTCATAGTCTCGTAATCTCATACTTATCGTAATACTCGCAATAATTAAAACAGCGAAATTGTTAGATATACATAGGTACCTAGGTAGATATCTCCACTGCTATGTAAGATCTTACATCCCCGTTCACTCTACCCTATCCCACTTGTCATCTTATCATTTTATCATTATTATTACACTACTTAGTATAGCATTTAGTAAAGTAAAGTCGGATCATCGGCAAGTGCAAGTGCTCAACGGTTCAATATTTACCTCCAGATTCCAGAGTCTATACTTAGCCCCTACCTACTCAAGATAGTAAGTCCCTTGCCCCTCCCACCTCTCGCCCCTCTCCCCCTCTCCCCCGTTCAAATTCCTCACGATCGATTTAACATTCCTACTAATCCAAGAAAAGAACTCACCCGTAGCCACCCACCCACCAACTCAATATACCCATCCGGGTCACGAGGAAAATAGAAACACTCTTGAGTTATTTTTATCACACATTAGCAACAAATCATGCGTCCGAACTCTTTTCCAATATAGTAATAAACAATAAGAATACAATTCAATCCTCCGCTTCATTCCAATATCCATAGCATCTATTCATCCATCCATCCATCCATCGAAAACAGAACTCCACCCAATAATAATACTCGAGTATAATCGCACCCATTCTCCAAATTGCAGGCATCTCTATAACCCATACTTATAACCCGATCCAATCTTTGCTTCAACGGAATCTATGTCGAACAGATGTGGAAACCCGCCATTAACGAGAATCCAGCTCACTTATAAAAGCCCTGAGCCTCTGACACTTATCCTTGTGAACTTGATAATTTTCCGGGTAGGCACCATTATCTTGATGCATCTTTTCAAAGTACGCCTCATTTTCACCAATACTCATCAAGAGGTTATTCCTTCCAGCAGATGTCCGTATTGCCTTGTCCAAAATAGTTCGATCGATCAAAGGTTTCGCGTTTGCCATCCACGGTGAATTCATCATTTCCAACCATTCCTGCTTGAACGATGGACCGATGAGCTTTTGACATCTGTGCTTGATAAAAATTCGGATTATCCATTCATCGAACCACTCTTCAATGAAGTGGTATGATACCGATTCCAGCCAAAAGAATAAATCGCAGAGTAATCTGATGAATAGTCCAAAGGAGAGATTGAAATCTTCTTTGCATGTTACGTCGTGATAACTACGGGTGAAAGCGAGGTAGGCAATTTTGATGGGATCATCATCTGTCAATATACCATTCTCGCAGTAGCATACCATTCGGGGCAGCGGTGATGAAGGTACTGAATAGTGTGGTGTCAGAGGACTAATATGTTGCTAGTATGATATTAGAGAGGCTGTGATTGAAGATTTAAGCAACATGACTTACAGTTGGTTGAGTAAGGCTACCTAGTGGTAGATGTAATGTTTCCAGTCTTTCGTTCTGTGGCGAAGGGTCCTATTATTGTGTTAATAGCGGATTAACGGCAGATATGCCAGTAATAAAACCCACCATCATTCCAGTAGCAGTATCCATGATACACTTTCGAGATAATCGATACCAAAAACTAACTCTTGAGGCTGAGCTTAGATGACCTCGATGTTAATCTGAGGATGTTATTCGAGTATGGATGTTGGTATCGAACGTCTGAAGGGATTCAAGGGAATGTATAGGTAGGAGACCAGATCAATAAGTCTGGCCACGACTTCCCTATTCCAACAAAGTCTATGGAAAGGGAAGATGATATCGGCTTTATGGTGACTCGCAAGTTCCTTAGTGACAAGCTTCTCACGACCCCAGAGAAGTCCAGTACCTTAAGATCACCAAATCATCTCAATGGCACAGGTACAACCAACAGTTTTGATGGTAGTCATCTATGGTGGTGAAAATCTTTGGAAAGAGCATTTGAGAACAAACGACCTAATATCACAAGAAGCAATTCGAGGAAAGAAATATCGGCTATGACTGCTAGTCTGGATGTGGTTTCACATGAAGTAATTACATCGAAGATTGACGTTCACAATATATAATTGATTAATCGCAGAACGGAGAATGACAGAGTCCCGATGATCAAAAATGATAGAAATGAAGACAACGAAATACGGCAAGTCGAGTATGCCAATTTGAATGATTCCGATTTTACGCATATTCAATCTTTGCGCATCGTGAATAAGAAATATAACTTGTGAAAGTTTTGACTCGATATTGAAAACACAACTCTCTGCATCTCTACTCAGAGTACCGAGTACCGGCATCTGTAAATATGTGATTGTATCAGGATAAGTTAATGACAATGAGCAGATTGATCAAGCTCTTCAGTGTAGTGTACTGTGTAAGGTTACACGAAGAGAAGCAAAGAAAATAAAACGAAAATGAAGAGATGAAGAAACAATCAGTATAGCAAATGGAAAAGGAAGAACCAGTACCGGTATGAGGACTAGTACCTACTCCAAACCAGCAAAGAAGGATGTTGGGGAAAGGAAGAAGGAAGTTGCAGATAAATGGAGAACGGATATGAGTGCTTATGTAAGCTCATGAGAAAAGCATATCACGTGCTAACCCCAACCCATGCTATTGTCCCACAACTCATCTTGTCCAAGTCTTCACTCCTTTCTTTGTCTCACCGATTCATTCATCCATCCATCCATCTTATCAGATCATCTCATCTCATCTCATCCATTTTCCGTTTTCAGAACCCCTTTATTATATCTTAAGATCTGATAAACCTTACCGAGTTACTTGGTACAATTTCATTCACTACTCGTGTATTCTAGACATCACTCTTTTTCAAGAATAGATGATATTCACATAAGGAGTAATAATATGAAAAATCCCTGATTGATTCATCAAAATCCCTCGTATCGCCTTTCCTTTTCTGATCCTCTGGATTCTAATAGTTCGCATGCAGTAAGAATCATTTAGAGTTATCAGATCCTGCGTGGTGTGGTGTGGTGTGATCCACTATCCACAATCTGATAAAATCTGTTTTTTAAGGGGGGAGGGATGGGGTGCAATAACAACAAGTTCACAAGCCTAAAATAAATAAAGAGAAGAAAAGAAAGAAAGAAAGAAATTATGAAACCGCTTTGCGCACTTGTCTCAGACTCTCCAACGAAAATTTCTCAACAAAGCAATAAGGGGTCAGAAGATCTAATCAGATTCATCTAATCTGATGCTTTTCGTTTCATGCCCAATACCGGTAACGAGGTAAAAACCTTCCGTTCGTATCAGATAATCAGAGGGTTGTGTATTGTTGGGAAATTTGGAATGTCACTAATACATGAGATTCCTAGTATAATCCTTGCAAAATTCCTTCTTTTCCATTTGTCTTGTCGAGTAGATTTAAAGTTATCAGATGGAAATTCTCCTGGGTTCTGGAAGTGATGTGATGTGTGATATGCATATTTAGATGCGGTGCTGTATGGAGATTGGATAGGATAGGATGTCTCGGACCAGAACCAGAGTGTTTTATTTTCTTAGGGTTCCGAATGGGTTGGGTTGAGTTGGGTTGTGAAGATAAATCATTTGATTGTAAAGGAGAGATTTTGTATGTGGATGCGAGATACATACTAGCGGGGAATACGAATGCGAAGACGAGGAAGGGAATGAAAGAATGAAGAATAAATAGAACCTTTCAAACTCCTATATCCTGGTATTGAACTATACCATTCGACCAAACTCCTAGATTCTCGTACTGAACTGAACTATTCTATTCTACACTTCCTTTCTTATCATATCATATCATACTCGAGCATCATCTCACCTCACCATCATCTCACCATCATTTTATCCATCAAAATACCAAACCATATTGACTACAGTATCCGGCCAAACCAACTACCCAGTCTCACTCCCTCAGTCCACCTTTTCTCGGATCAGATAAGTTATTCGACAGGGGTTCATGGCAAAGGTTCATGACAAGGAACACTTTTCCTTAAGTGGCGCTTATAGTTCACTGATGTTTTTTTTGGTTCCTGATGCCCATTGAGTTTGAGGAAAGAAGGGACCCGAATACCGGTAGTTTTAGTGATGATTAGACGGATGATTAGAGATGAGTAGATAGATGATGGTCGGCATAACATAACGGAATGGTTGGGTTTGATGTGTGATTTAATGATGATGGGCTTGCTGAGTGATGGGTGGGTGATGAGTGATAAGGTGATGAGTGAGAAGTGGGAGGATAGCGTTTGGTTTTTGGAGATATTAAAGAGGGTGAGGTGAATATTGGAGAGGGGAAACTATAGCTAAGTGCAAGTAAGAATATGAAGAATGGGAGTGGGAGTGGGAGAGGGAGAAGTTGACTATACTGTATGGATAATACAAAATAGAGTCCTTTGTACTATACTCAAGTTATAGATGAAGAGTTATCTAATTTTTGGTTTATGAAGTATATGACTCGGTTTTCTAGATCTTTGCTTTGCCCTGATGAAACAGACAATTTTGTGAGATATCTCGATTTTAATCAATCCATTATATTTGTTGAGTGATCGATCCGAATTTGATACCAGGCTTACTTACTTACGGCTGATCAACAAATCCCGGTGTCGGCCGAGGTCCTACCAAGGAACCCCTAGATAATAAGTTTTGATGAAAAGCACAAAATATAGAAATCGATGATCCCGCCACTTCACACCAAAAGAAACCTTTCAAGTGCATTTAAAGAATTAATAAAATTCAAACAATTCACTAGCAATTTCTCGATTAATATCTTTACACCCTTCCTTCTGGAAACCTCCAGCAAGTAAACAATCATTACCTCAGCAAACACATATCATACCATACATACACATACACATACAATCCATTCAATCAACTCTTACATCATCATCCGACAATCGATAAACTAAACTAATACAAAAAAGTTGGATTGACACACTTTCAACAAACCTGGCTCAATTGCCTTCCTTCTCTTTCCGTTCCTCGGCATTCCCATACTAGTCAGTATATTAGTATATGATCCGTCGGTCAACAATACTACTTCGAATAATGTCACGTCCTCAAGTCTTAAGAATGTCTACTACATCTCATTGTATACCACAGGAACCACAACCTGAGTCACCCCGCTCTCAAGTCTCTCAGGTCCCCGCCCTCACATACTCATCATCTTCTTCCTCTGAACTCGAAGCCGAAGAGATTGAACCACGACGTCGTCGGGCTTCCACTAAACTCATTTCACAAAATGCTACCGATATGCAAAGAATCATTGGGGAGGCGGGCACAAAATTGGTGGAAAAATGTTGTGGTGGGGGTTGCTGTATGGCAATCACCAAAACCGATAGCCTCACATACGAAAGACCTCGATTACCAGATAATGACGCTTACAAGAGTTTGGAATTAAAGATCGAAACTATTCCTACACGATTGACAAGTCTGCCAGATTTTTCCACGAAGAATATGGAGATTCTCCCTCTAAAGAAAGAGAAAGCTCGGGATTTGGTCGATGGTATGGATTCTTTGGAGGTCAATGAGAATAGGGGAGCCATTACTGTCGAACCTCCTATGGATGTCGCAGATGCCGCAGATATAAAGGAGGCTATTTCGCACATTGACTCAGGGATTGGTATGGGAAATGGTTCAATTGACTTCACACCGCATCATGCCAAGTCCGATGTCGATACAAGAGTTCAGCCACCTTCATTCGTTAAACCACATCCACCTTATGAAGTTTACTCGGCGAGAATATTCAATGCAAGAGAGTTGACGAGACCTGGTGCTGAGAAGAGAACATATCATTTTGATTTGGATGTTACGGATTATCCTGAGGAAGGTGGTGTGGATTTCAAGGTTGGTGGTGCAATTGGTGTCATGGCTCCAAATGAAGACTCAATGGTTGAAGAAATCTTGGATTTGTTATCTATCCCGAGACATCTTCGTGATCGAAAGATTTTATTGAAGACTTATTCTGGAAGATGGCCTACAATTTGGGGAGATGACCAGCCAAGAGAATTAATCACAACCAGACGAGATTTATTGACTTGGTGTTCTGATATCCAGTCATATCCTCCCAACAAGAAGATTTTACGATTACTCGCCGAATATGCTATTGATCCCGAGGAAAAGAAGATTTTATTATATCTGTGCTCAGGGGAAGGGCAAGGAACATTTTGCGATTTTCGAACTGGACCACATATCACCATCCCTCATCTTCTTCACGCATTCCCCTCTAGTAAACCACCTCTCGATCATCTCCTCTCAGTACTCGAAACCTTGAGACCTCGATTTTATTCCATGTCCAACGATCCTCAGGAGAATTGTGTACCAGTGGAAGGTTGTAGTCGACTCATCGAAATTGCAGTTACTGTTCATGAAACAAATAATTGGCGCGGTGGCAATCGTATCGGTCTGGGGTCAGGATTCTTTGAACGACAAGCAAGAAAATTTATCGAGGCTCAAAAGGAAGGAAAAAAGGTCAATATCAGAATTCCTATGTTCAAGGGGTTGATGGCCAATCCACTCGCTCGAGAATTTGTTTCTGATGGACCTATGCTTTTGATTGGTGCAGGTGTAGGAGTTGCTCCTTTCCGAGGATTTGTTCAAAGACGTCTCAAGAATGCCAATTGTGCAAACAAAGTATGGGTTCTTCAAGGAGTTCGAGATTCTCTTCTGGATGAATTATATTCTGGTGAATGGGGTGTACATGAATCGGAAGTCAAGAAGGTGGTACAAAGTCGAAGACCAGGTAGCAAACAAAAGGGGAAATACGTACAAGATGAAGTTAGACATCAAGCCGATTTGGTCTGGTTTATCATCAATGCCCTGGATGGTAGAGTGTTTGTTTGTGGTAGTAGTAAGGGAATGGGTGAGGGGGTTGAAGAGGCCCTGGTGGATGTTGCGATGGAGAAGGGTAATTTGGGTAGAGAAGAGGCAAAGAAGTTTTGGAAGTTGAAAGGTGAAGCTGGGCAATATATTGCTGAGACTTGGTGATGGATGTCACGCGGTTCCTTTCTTCTTTCCTCTGAGCCTTTTCGCCTGGTCTTGAATATAGCCAAGGATAGCATGGGATGACGGTATGAATGAGACGAAAAGAAATGTAAATATGCATGAAAAGGCCGGTACCTAATCTAATGGCATATCGAGGTTGTATCATACGGGTTTCTGCTGGGTGGCAGGCATTTATGCTTGCTTTTCTTTGCTTTGCTTTTATGCAATGGTTGGGTGGGAGGGTTTTTGGGTGGCTACTTTGTTCTTGTATATTATGGATGGGTTGGATAAGGTGGTGGTGGTTGGTGGGTTGATTTTCAGTTGATTTTTCATGGGATGGATAAGGCGTTTAATAGGGAATAGGTAGCTTTTAGATGGATGGGTGGATGGGTGGATGGGTGGATGGATAGGTAGATGGGAAATAAAGAAATGAGGGAAATAAGAAGAAGAATTGAGAATAGTAATGGTGAAAGAATGGTCTAAGTGATTGGGGTTATGTTGTATGTTGTATGTTATGTGGTGGGAGGGGGTGTGAGGGGAAAGGGGAAAGGGGAAAGGGGAAAGGGGGAATGGGGGGAAGTGTGGAGGTGAGTGGATGAGTGAGTGGGTTTATGAGGGGGTGGATGAATGGTATATTTTGCAGATAGATGAGAATGAGAATGAGAATGAGAATGAGAATAAGGATAAGAATATTACATACATATGATCTGAGTACGAAAATGTGTATATATATATTGATATAGAATAACATTGAGTGGTGATTTAGTTGGGGTTTTGGAATTTTGGAATTTTGGGGTATGTGAGTTTGGGGTGTGTGGGTGTGTGAGTTTGTAAATAAGGAAGGTATGTGAGTAGGTTTTTAAGTAAGAAAGTATACTCTACAAGTAATTGTTATACGAGTGAGTAGATACTTGATTAGAATAGATACTAGAATACTCAACTAACTTTATATATATATATATCTCTTGATATTTTTTTTTTTGAGGGTAAGGGGGTAAGATAAGATAAGGTAAGATAAGGTAAGGTTTATGGGTTGGATTGGATTGGATTGGATTATGTTATATCTAGAAGGAAGTAGAGTACGAGTAGCTTTCTATACTTATCAATAGATAGATAGATAGATAAATAGATAAATCGATGTGATGTGATGTAATGTGTTTTCTTTTTCTTCTATAGTATTTGTTTGTTGGATGGATGGATGGAGGGAGAGAGGGAGAGAGGGATGGAGAGAGAGAGAGGATAAATGGAGAGGGAGAGGGATGGATAAATATGGAATTAGTATAGTTAGTCATGGGTATGAAATCGGTATGGATATAGATGTAGAAGATAAGGATAGATGGATGGAAGGAGCTTGTTAGTTAGGGGAGGAAAGAGGGAAGAAAGGTGTGAAGGGGATAAGAGGTGGGTGGAAAGGAGGGGGTGGGTGGAAAGGAGGGGGAGGATGGAGAGGCGAAAGGTGTGTGTGAATTTGAAATGGAAATGGACATGGAAATAGAAATGGAAATTGAACATATGAATATGAATATGAATTTGAATATGATTTGAATAAAATATTATTATCTGATAATATAGATAACGATTGAATCCAATGTCAAGGTAGTGATAGCTAAAGTAACACAGTAAGTAAAGTCGCAATACCCACCTAGTCATTAGCTCATTAGACATAAATCCCATCCACCAATAAAAATGAATTCCGCGCCGCGTATACGGGGTATAATATTAGTGGGGGCTTATAGCTTTATAATGCTAGGTCAGCAATGAGTGAGCATGCAAATTAGCCTCAGGTATGCTGATGTTACAAATGGAAATGGAGAAGGAGTAGGTAGGCCCGAGGGTATGGGAAGTTTCGTGGGCTGGGGAGGGGGGAGTTTCGTAGTTTGTGAGGTTTGTGAGGTTTGTAATTGGTGGGATGGAGGTAGAGCCGGGGAAAGCGGAGAGAGCGGAGAGAGCGGATTTGGAATGGGAATGGAAAAGGGAAACCGAAAGCTTGATTATGAAATGCTATGTTATGTTATGTTACATTATGTTTGTGATTGTTGGTTTTGGTTTGATTTATAAATGCTTAGAGCTCATGATGAATCCGATACAATACAATATTAATAATGAGCGGACAGAGCGGACATGGGTCAAGATGGGTCTGTGCTGTGGTGCAAGTGCGCGGTGCGGGTAAATCTTAAATCTTGACTATCAAATGATTTTGATAAGCTAAACACAAGAGAAACAGAAACAGTCCCATCCATTCTAGATCTCTAGACTAAGTAAGTAGCTTCTCCATCTCACTCGAATCTCTTATTGGTTGAATATCCCAATTTTCAGTATTGCAACATCGATATTGGGAAAGAGTGGAGATATGAGATATATGCAATGGGAAACAGTACCGCATCATTGTCAATGGGTAGGTAGGCGGGGCAGGAGCAAGTAGCTAGGTAGGGTTATTGCAACTTGCCACCGTCTATCTTGTTGGTGGTGGTGGGTAGGAAGGGGGAAGGTGGGTTTGTTTGTGCTGGTGGTGAATAATGAATAAGGAATAAGTATAAGAAGATTGTTGAGTTCCTCTATTCTTCGATTTTCTTTTCTTATCTTATATAATATTCGCAATCTCAAACTCGACCTCAAAACTCAACTCAACAACTCAACTCAACAACCACACACACAAACAACCAGCAAACCACCCCATCAACAACCACCCACCATGTCCCCCTCAACCCCTACCATATCCGCCTCAACCACCTTCCTCTCCCTCCTCAAAACCCGCCGCACCATCTACTCTCTCTCCCCCTCATCCCCCATCCCCGATTCCCAAATCCAAGAAATTATCGAGCAAGCTCTTCTCCACGTTCCTTCCTCGTTCAATTCTCAAAGTACACGCATTGTACTTTTACTCAAGGGAGAACATGAGAAACTTTGGGATATTACTAAGGAGGTATTGAAGGGAGTTGTGCCCGCGGAACAATTCGAGGGTACTGCTGCGAAAATTGGGGGGTTCAGGAATGGGTATGGGACTGTATGTTTTCCTGTTTTCTTTTTAAAAAAAAGTTTGATTCGAGTTTTTGGTATTGTGATTTGGGATTCTGAGGGAATAAAGCTAATTGGGAGATATGATATGTATAGGTTCTTTTCTTCGAAGATAGAAAGGTCGTCGCAGGAATGCAATCTGCATATGCGGCCTACGCGGATAAATTCCCAGGATGGGCGACCCAGAGTGATGCGATGACACAATATGCGATTTGGGTTGCGTTGGAAGCCGAAGGATTGGGAGCCAATTTGCAACATTATAGTCCGTTGATTGATGCTAAGGTTGCTGCTGAGTGAGTTTTGATTTCCTTTTATTTATTTTATTTTATTTTATTTTTACTGGGGTTTTTTGTGTGAGAGTTTGGGACGGGGAGTTGGGCGGCGGTTGGTATGGATATGATGAAGGAAAGAGAGTGCGCGTGAATCATACCATTGCAGAGAAATTGCAATTTCGACAGATGTTTCAGAATTGAATATTGACTAATACTCAAAATCACAGATGGAATATCCCTTCAGATTGGGAACTCAATGCTCAACTCGTTTTCGGTCGACCCGCGGCACCAGCTGGCGAGAAAGCTTTCATGCCTCTCGAGGAGCGACTTAAGGTTTATGGTGCTTAGATTTTGGAGATATCAAGGTGGTATGGTATACCGGTATGGGAGTTTGTGGGGATGTGGATAGAGAGTGGAGGAGAGGAGAAAAGTTATATGAGGGGAGATGTTTAAACTTTGGAGGGATGATAATAGAGATTCGAATAGAATAGAATGTACTCGAGTATGGATAACGTCGATGTGAGAGAGAGAGAGAGAGAGGTAAAATACCAAGCAAGACCTTTACACCACACTACCCCAAACCACACCTCACCTCATCTCACCTCATCTCATCACATCCACTACTTTTATTTTATAATCAGCAAACGGGAAATATATTCGTATATTCTAAGATACAGGTACAGTAGTCGGAATGATACACAAGAATTAAATAGCTAGCATAGACGCAAATGCGTAATCAATCAGACCTGCAATCAATATTGTGCGAACTTGTTGATCTGCTCATTTTTTTTTTTTTGGAGAGTGGGGTTGGGATTGGGATTGGGGGGTTTCTTTTAGGTTTATGGTTTTGGGTTTTTGGGATGAAGTGGTGAAGGGGTAGAGGGGTGATGGGGTAGAGGGGTTATGGGGTGGAGGGGATGGGTGGAGATGGTGGATGGCAATGGATTGGTGGGTGGGGATGGGGTTTGTGTGCAATTGTTATTAAAGGGAATTTATAAGGAAAGAGAAGGAAGGGAATGGAAGGGAATATAAAGGTAGGTTTTGTAACGATAAGGCTATGTGATGTGGTTGAAGAAGATGGAGAGGGAGAGGGTGAGAGAGAGAGAGAGAGAGAGAGAGAGAGAGAGAGAGAGAGAGAGAGAGA